ACACAAGCTGAGCAGTATGTCAGTCACCACAAACTAAGTTTGCAGTACGCATGCATCATACACAAGATTCAGCACACAAGCAAGAGCAGGACCATCTTAATAATTTTGTTGCTGATCTTCTGTGCTCAACAGAGCAATTCAACATGGACCAAACATCATATTTTCAAAAATTCTCTTAAAAATTTTAAAATATATCGAAAAAAATGTGGTGGAACTCCATTCCATTGCATTCTATGACAAAAAAAAGTGCTGGAAAATTCTCACGGCAAAAATAGTGCAAGTGCAATGTCATGGGAATTAGACATGCCTCTACATGAGTGTAGAAAGTTGTGCCAAAAATCTTTCATTTTTGTCCATACAAGATATCCCACAGTCAAGAATGTTTCTGGTGATAATGATAAGCAGAAAACATTTTCCATGACTAGCTTGGATGACAGTTGACGATGCATAACCCTGGAAAATTATGTGAAGTAATAAGACTCATTTGATAATGTAAACACTTACAATTGCTGTATTTAGTCTGATAAAAATTCACACATGTTCAACAAATTCCATTGCACTCACCAAAGGTAACAATATAATACAATTTACAGCATTCTTTATCACTTTCCTTATTTTTTTTTTTTGAAGAAACTCTGCATCTGGGACAGGACATGTTCTGTTAATGCCTCTAGATATGAAATGCAGATGAAAAATGTTCTCAACACCACAACTTTAAGCAATATGGTGCACTCACACTTCAAATTAAATGCACAAGCATAACTACATTGACATTTTTCACACAAGAGAATGATTAGTCAATCATTTCCAATGTCATGGCCACCATATTTTCCATAGTCAAATCCCTATGACTTTTGATTGTGAGACTACCTTAACAGCCTTATTTATTAAGGCAATGTTTCCAACATAGCTGTCTTAAAAGACAGAATTTCAGATGTGTGACAACTCCAAACAGATCAGTAGCATTTTGCCATTGAGTACGCCATTGCCATTCAGTGGAATGCAATTTTTAAAGCATAGAGATGAAAAGCATACAACCATATCATTGATGTAATTTTCAATTCCACATCAGTAACTAAAATAAAATTATTGTACTTTGATTCCTAACTCCTGAAATTCATTGGAAAACATATAAAATATAAACAGTATGTACATTATATATATAATATGCACATTAAGAAAACAGAAGTGCCAAATTTCTCCTGAATACCTTTCACCAATACTTCAAATACCTTCTTTAAAACGAATACCAATAAAGGAAATCCTTTCGTTAAAACAAATTTTGCTGTTATTCTGGCAAAACACCATTGTTACAACATTAATTTTCATGTGATAAAGTGAATGAAAATTTTACCAGAATTCATTAAAATGAACTGTAAATTACCTTCACAACCCCCAAGAAATAACCCTATTACCAATAATGGTTGCTTTTTACACTTTGATGTAAACAATAAAAAGTGGTACTGTAATAAATGATCTATTTTGAGTAGAATAGCTTTTCATCTCCTAGTAAGTGAAGACAAGTTCAATCTCTGATTGTATGTAAAAAGTTTACCATCATCACTCCTCTTTAATTAAATACTGTAAACAAACAATTCACATACCATTTATCACTGACAAATAAAAAGGATAAGAATCCTCCAATTGTACAGCAATTCAAACATCTGATTTTAGCAGACCATTCTGCTGTACTCAGAAAATATGAATTAAAGTTTAAGGAAACCCATCCCTTTAAATGGATGCAGTCCCATTCAAACATATGCTAGTTTGCATATCGTGGAATGCATACCATGATTTGAAAATCATTTAAAATACTTTTGAATTTGAAAATCATTTTTTTTAAAATAAATTTAGTCTTATTTAACTTTATTTAGTAAATTAATTAATTCAAAAAATTATAATTTAGAGATTTTGATCATCTATTAAGCCTTAACTCCCTAAATCATACAACCTCAACCCCAAAAATCATTAATATGAATTTTCAATAAAGTGAACTAACTACTGTTCCCCTAGCAATTCATAGTATTGTGAGCTGACTATATTTCACAATGAATACATTACTACAGTATTTTTGATTTTATCTCACCATGTTCTTCAATTAAATCACAACCATGCTTCTATGCTGTACATGATTATTTATTTAAATATGTAGAGACAAGCCATGCAAACCACAAACATATTTTAGAAATATCCCATATCTTATGTTTTACAGTAGAGTGTCATTTATCTGAATCAATTGGGGACTGGGGTTGTTCGGATAACTTATTTTTCAGATAACCGATTATGTACGAAAAAATATCCCATGTTGAAATTTTTCTCCGTTGCATGTCACTTCGCATTGAATTTTTGTCAATGTTAAGCCTAACGTAAACTTTTTAAAATAATAATCGTGGCTATTGTATCGTTAAAAATTATTTCTTTATTTTTTACAAACAAAATAAATATATTGAAAATATAAAAACAAAAAAAATTATACTTTAGAAGTTAATCTAGTATCAAAAACATTCGATTCAACAGGACACACAGTCCCGAGAAAAACACCACACAAAAGTGCCAGTGTTTCCAGCTAAAACACACATCAACAAAAAAAATATTGGAGTGGCCCAAGATATAGCCAAAGATTGCAGTGCCACAGCACTAGCAAAAATTTAAATTTGCCGACTGGAATTCTTTCGGATAACTGACGTTTCGGATAACCGACTTTCGGATAAACGACGCTCTACCGTACTTCATTTTTTAAATATAACAACATACATATACAAAAATGAGGTACCAATGGGCAATCCACTTGACTTACTTGAATTATTGATTTGAACTCTTCGAAAAAAAAAATAGTACCTGAGTTTCTATCATCATTCTGTATATGAGATGTATAGATGATATACTCATCATGTGAAAATTTAAACCAGATATAAATAAATTATTAGAGATATTTAACAAATCCATACAGCCTCAAATTGAAACTAGACCAATTTGGCAATGCCTCAGTACATTTTCTTGACTTGAATATCACATTCATAGATATTCTACTTACAATTATTAATACTTGAGATCAAACTGTTTTGATCTCAGTCCTAACCAGAATAGAGTAACGTTGTCAATTAGTTTATAACACGAAAAAATGCGTTGCCTGGCCAAACTCCCCTTTTATTACTCCTTCCACCGGAGTGGAAGTATAGATCCAAACCTATCCTAATTGTTTAGAAGGTATGTAGTACCTTCTAAACAATTCTCCATTAGTTTATTATCTTGATAATGACTAACATCAGGTTGAACATAAACATTGTGGGGGGACATTCATAGATAGGAGTGTTACCACCAAGTTATACTTTAAGCCAGATTATCATCCATTTTCATCCCTGCAAACTCTAGTGATGCTTTCCAATACAAAATCACAGCATTTAGAGCACAGGTACAATGTTCCTTCAGGCACTGTTATGATACAAAAAACATCAGAAAAGAACTTAACTGAATACAAAAAAAATTCTATTCACAGTTACAAGAGAACACTGATTCATGGCTTCATTCAAAAAAATTATAAAATAAATAAGCAATTAAAAAAATGGTAGCGGACAGCCCTCTACTAGAAGCACTACATCCAACCAATCTGAACCCAAATCCATTGGTAGATTTCAATACACATACACTACTAAATTCAATTTTATTTGAATTTAGTAGTGGACAAGACATCTCAACAACATGGTCACAACTTAAAATAATATTTGGAAAATATTATAATTATTGCTTTCACAATATGAACTATCATATCTGAGTTCATATTGTGTATTGAGTATCACACAATTCTCTGAGTTAAAAAATACAGAACAGTGTAAAAGTCTGATGTTCTACCATTTAAATTTAAAATTTATATGAACATGCATAAAACAGTTAACATTCTAATTTGGAACTTTAAATTTCAAACTATAGACAGAACTGAGATAAGCTTATGAAGTGAGCTGAAAAGATTTGTTGAAAGACTAAAACAGTGCTGGAATAGTGCGTTAAGTTATTATTATTACTATGTTGAAGCTGTAATAATATCTAAAGATTGCATACAACACATCACAGAAAAATTGTAAACAAAGAAAATTATTAAAAATTGATTAGAAAGTATTTATCATAATTTAGTCTACATTAGCTATTATAGTCTCTGTATTTTTCTTTCAAACAATTTCCACCTTGTATGCACAAACAGAGAAATACAACCATCAAACAGAAACTTGAACCCTGAAACTTAGGTTAAAAGCTTAATACTTTACTATTTTCTGAGAATTTATAAAAATTATAGTACAGAAAATTAGTGTCTAGTTAAGAAAGTATCATTTACTCTAAAAACAATTTCTTAGATACAATAAATACTTTTCCAGCAATCATTTTATGAAAAATAAATGTTTTTGGTTTAATTAAGAAGCCATCTTCAGGTTTGGCTGATGAAGAAGGCTTCTTAATTTAATTAAGCCTTCATCAGCAGTTAAAGATTGTTCATATTTTGTAATACATCATAGAATGCTTGATGCATTCCACTTTAAAATCTCTATTCAATTTCAGCAGCAAACTCTGAAGACGACTTCTTAAGTAAGTTGAAAACATTCATTTTTTTATAAAGCAATTGCTGGAGAAGTATTTATGATGTCTGCTTTATGATGATTCATCTCAGTTCCAGATTGGACATTTGGTTGTTGTTTCTCATACAAAGTTACAATCTTAAAAGGAAAGCCAGATGTATTATAAAGAGTGAAAAGATTACTTAATAAGCTTTTGTAAAATATTACTTATCAATTTAACAATGCATTTAGATGATTCTATTATTATTTTTCCATTTCTGATATTCAAAATGTATTTCAGAAAAAGAATGGCTTTTTTAATTTCTGATGATAATTTTTAAAATAAAAAGAAATCTGATGATGTAAAGTTATCATACTTTACATCATATTTCTTTTTGATATTTAACTACAGATCTGTATAAATTAATAACTCTAAAAATTTTAATTAATACTCACCTCAGCAGGAGATATTTCTGTTCGAATTAATCCAGCTTCTTTGGCTTGTTGCTTTTTTTCTTTTTCAATTTTAGCCCTGAATTAAAAAAGTATAAAAGTATTTTTTATATAAATAATAATAATCAACATTACTATTAACATTACTAAAATTTTGAAGTATATATTTCATATACTATATTTCTGCACAAATAAGAGCATGCTCTATTATATAAAAATTGTTTATCTCCATGTTTTTGAAACATTTCTGCTTTGTTTATAAAAGTAAATCTCATATGTGGATTACAAGAGCACTATACTGCTGTGTCAATGAAAATTAAATGTAAATATATTGATACAGTAACTATTAAGTAACATTTTTGTGGTAACTATTACATTAGAGCCTCGATTATCCGACTCAATTGGGGACTCAGGTTGGTTGGATAACTGAAAAAATCAGATAACAGAAAAGAATGAAAAAAAAAATACATTATTAGTATAGTATATTAGTATATCCCATGTAATTAGTATATTAGTATATCGCTATTAACCAACTTTGCGTTGAATTTTCATCGATGTTAAGCCTAACAAATTTTTTTTTTAAATAATAATCGTCGCTATTGTATCATTAAAAATTACTCACAAAACAAACAACCACTCATAGTTAGAAAATTAAGTCTCGTTTAAATACAGTACTGGCCTCTCTTTCATGGTCGAGCCAGTGTTGCCAGCTAAAACACGCAAAAATTTAACAAAAATAATATTAAAGTAGCCAAGACATAGCTAAATATTGTAATGCCACATCACTAGTGGACATTTGAAATTTGCCAACTAGAACGGTCGGTTAACCGATGTGACGGTTAATCGGGGGTCGGATAATCGATGCTCTACTGTATTAAAAATAAAAAGACATAAAACTGCTTCCAACACTATAAAAATTTTTTTAAAACAGTAAGTTTATGAACTTTGAGGAATATAGTGATGTCAGAGATGCCATAGTACTTTTTCAACATTTTTTATATTTAAAATTTCATAAAAAATCTGAAAAATGCCTAGGTAGACATCTGGTTGTAAAGTTAGGAAGGTTCCTAACTTTATAACCCAGATGACATGCAGTTGACATGTTTTGCACTGCATGAATAACTTTTGAAAAAAAATCTTTCAAGTCTCACAGTGGATGCCATGTAACTCAACTTGTATGTAAAAAATGTACAAAAAACAAAAAATTGCAAGAAAATTGCATGGGAATAACTCTTGCAAGTATGGCACATAATGAGCATGATTTGACACAATAGCATTTAAAATGAAAATATAAAAACACTATTCCTTATATTTTCCACTTTTTCTTCATTTTTTGAGTCATAAAATTCAATTTCATTTCATTTCAAATAGACTGTTGCATTTGTTTGTGACATGTCTTGTAATGCATCACATTCTTGTATACAATGTAGCACAACAAAAATATAAAAATTAATTTTTATAGTACAAACTGTGCAATTTGTAAAATTTTTCTTTACTTCATAACAATATTATGTAAACATTGTTGCAAATGCATTTATTTGATAAAATTCTGAGAATATTTTGAGTAAGCTTTTTAATAGAAAGAGCAACTTACACATTCAACATCATGGCAATAATTGCTGAATTTTTGATGGTGGATGCATTACTTCCATGATTGCTTCATTTCTCATATAGAAAGCTTTTCTGACTAAATAACCAACAACAAATTTTGATACATTTTTATAATACAGTAGCCTTGATTGTATTACACTTGTTAAGAGGAGACAAAGGAAAGGCACGATTTAACTTAGTACTAAAATTTCTGGGCTTATACCAAACAGATTACACATGCTATAAAATCTTTATCCTGAATAAAGGAGTTTGCACTTAAAAATTGTAAAATTTTGTACAGACAATTTCCCAAATTCTCGAACTGTATTAAAATGAAACTGGAAACTGTTGTACAGGGAATATTCCCAATTTTTCAATTGTGTTACAGCAAAACAGTGTTGTAGAAGTGCTGTAGTGCTGTGTTGTATTATGATATTGTAAATATACAAACACACACAAATTAGTTCTACAGAATCTAACTCACATTTTTGTTTCATAATCCCTACAAGCTTTATCAAAAGGCCTTTTCAAATCCTGAAAGAAAGAAAAACATTAATAACAACAACACTAATCCGAGTAAATAATTAAAATAATTATAGCAAACAACTTAATATATTATTATCTTTTATAACCTCACAGTAAATATACAGGGTGTGACAGAAAAAAATGTTCTGATTTGGAATGACAATTAAAAAAATACAAAGGAAGACAGAGAAAGAAATCTTTTATACCTAATAAGTACACAGTATGCCATTGTCATCCATTAGGTTTTGAAGAGTACATCAGTTAAATGGTGACCGTCAATGTCAATGCAGTTTTAAAGTCTCTTTCGGAGATTTTACATTGATCTGCAGATCATGTCCAGCAGAACTGCCATGATTTCTTGCATAATTGCTGCCTTGAGTTCTGGCAAATTTGTTGGTCTGTGTTGGTACACTTTTGATTTGAGATAGCCCCACAGAAAAAATCACGTGGAGACAAATCCGGCAAATGCAGTGGCCAACCAATATCACTCCGTAAAGAGACAAGATGGCCTGGAAACAAGTTTCTGAGAATTTCAAGTGACCTTCTAGAGGTATACGATGTGGCGCCATCTTGCTGAAACCATATATCTTTCAGATCAAGATCGTTGAGTAAACCGTTAACTAATGGAGGAAGAAAATTCTCAAGCAATTCACAATAGCACTCTGATGTTACTGTCACTGTAACTCCACCCTCTTCAAAGAAATAAAAACCCCACACACAAAATTACCTAAGGCACATCAAACTGTAACTTTCGGACTACAGAGTGGTCGCTGGTGGAGTTCTCAAGGAATACTGTCAGACCAGTACCTAAAGTTCTATTTGTTGACCATCCCCGATAAATGAAAATGGGCTTAGTCACTGGAGATCAGTACTGCTGTTGGGGGAATGCTCTGCAGAATAACCTGACACAAAGTTTTATGGATTGGATAGTCCTTATCATTCAACATCATTTTGTAGGGATGCATGTGGAGCAAGCTGTGTAAAAGTCTGCAGAGACTACGATCAGACATGTTTAATGCAGCTGTGTGTTTGCGTGCAGATCGCTTGGGAGACTGCCGTATGGAAGCTCTTGCAGCTGCCACATCTTTCGGTCTTGTTACACTTCTAGGGCAGCCAGGACTCTTTTTTTAAAAGTTGAACCTGTTCGTCTAAAATATGAAACCCAACGACGAATTGTTGGTGCAGCTGGAACCAGATCATGATGCCCAAGCGAAAGCATATTCAGAAGGCCCATTGCATTGTTATCACAGATTCACCATTCGTAACAAACTCTTCAACAACAAAAGCATGATGCTCTCTGCTCCACGCCATGATGGTAACTAAAAATGGCATGCGCAAACAAATCAAAAGAGACCACGCCCACTGCTGTACCTCTACTATGAGCGAAGCAATGCTTCTGCCAAATCAGAACGTTCTTTCTGCTGCACCCTGTACTTTTGATTAAAACAGTACAATGATGATTTCCATGTATTTGTATATTAAATTTTGGCATTATAAATTTTACAACAATTTTAAATTGTGAATGAAATGTTTAACTCAATATAATTCTTTTGTGATTTGGACATTAAATAGTTATTTATATTCATGGTTTATCTAATTCAATTCAACTTTAATTGTAAATTTTATACATCATGATCAAAAAGTTGTGCAATCCAATCTTCAAATATCTATATTATCATCTACAACATAACCACCAAATATTTTTCTCAACAGGCAGCAGCACTTGTGATTTGTGACTCATGTTGCATGTTGACTTCAAAAAGCAGAAGTCTGGATGGACTATAGTAGGTAATTGCTTTGTATTGCAAGTGGTATGTTTTTTCCCCAGATCCATCATATATTTGTTGTGAGCAGTAACCCCCACACAGTTGATGAGCTTAAAGTTAGCATTGCTAACTTTAAGCTCATCAACTGTTGACACTGTTTTTGACTGAGTTGACACTGGCACATTCTGAGCTTAAAGTTAGCAATGCTAACTTTAAGCTCAGAATGTGCCAGTGTCAACTCTATTTGAAGTGATGGTTAATCTTATTGTGAAAGAAAGTAAAAACATGATCTCTGTGTGTTAGGACATATTTTATATTAGATGACACTATGTACCATTGATGCACTTTGCATTCTTTAAGTCATAGGTTACAATTTTTTTTATCCACTACATCTGTGTGGCATGTTGTCTGCTTGCATTCAGTCTTTCTTTCTGTTACCTGTAACTGTACCCAATTAAAATGTCTATACACAAAAGATTTGTTTATTTGCTTCATTTCTGACACTTACGAAAAGAGAATGAGCATGTATCCAGGAAGAATGTGGCCATTTTGAACACAGAGTTCAATGCTGTAACCATCATCTTTAACATTAAACCCTGTTCTAAAAACATTGTGATTTGACATTATGACAATCCTTGTAAACACAATTCTGTCCCATTATGTACTACTGTACATGTTTGGTTGCATGATTTTTCAATTGCACTGTATTATTATATAATGTGTGTGTGTGTATGTGTGTGTGTATGTGAAATGTTTTTTTGACTGTTTTACTAAAAATCTAAACAGCTATATATAGAAGTTATTAGTTTTTGACATTTAAAATAGTAACCTCCATTTGTAAGATAATGCTTCCAGCAATTCTTTCACTTTTGAAAATGCTCCTGGAGTTCTTCTATAATAATAATGTAGCTCATCTAACTAATCTGTAATTGGCATTGACACATTAAACACCTTACATACTTATTCCAGTAATATTTAATAAAAATTATAAAAGTTTTTGGCCAGTGAGAAGCCTTCCTCAAGTGAACAGCTGCTCCACAGATAGAACATTCAAAACAGAGAAATGTTCTAAACAGAATATCTATATCTTCAAACCTGTCTGTCTAGAAATTTTTTTTATTTCCATGAGATTCAAGATAGACAGGTTCAAGTGTATTTCAAATAATAATAATCATTAAATTGTCTTATCTATAATTTTAATAGTTTTCTAGTATTATTGTTTCTCCTTATTTTATTGTTTTTGTTTTCCATTCCCTGAAAAAACAATCATCAATGTTGCACTGTACAACTGTTAAGTATATAATTAAAAACTAAAATGATTTAGTAATACAAGTTGAAAAAAATTTGATTTTGATTAAAAATTCTTACCCCTTTCACTCCACGCAAATCACCTTTGAGCAAATTATCCAGAGGAAACATAACAATGTTGTTTAAATTTTGCATCTATAAATTAATTTAAATAAATCATATACTATTTAATAAATAATATATATTAATTCAAATATAATATTTTTATCAATACATGTTAAAAACATTAACAATTATGGTTAAATTCTAAATATTAAATTTTACTCATATCATCCTAAAATCAAAATATTTCATTACAAGTTCTTAAAATGTATCAATAGTTCATAATATTAAAAATAAATTATTGGAACAATTTATCAAAAAAAATTTTAACACAGTAGAAGTTTGTTAATCCAGTACCCATAGGACCAAAGTGGCATTGGATTATCAAACTGCTGGATAAACGAATGCTTTTGTATTTTCACAAAACTTCAGTAAGTTATATGCAATCCGAACATTGTAGACATTGCTATGTATTTAGTATCAGCATACATTGCTGTAAGCTTCCAATTTGTTTATACATGTTCTTTAATCAATCTGAAGATGATACAGTGCAAAACTATACAGTATTAATTGAAAAACCTGCAAAGTTAATGAACACATAATTGCACAAAATAACATTTATAATAATTCTTGTGCATACATGATAATATTTATTTTCCAGGCATACCATATACAGTAGAATATCATTTTAACAGATTTCTTGGGCAACCAAAAATCATCTGTTGTTCTGAAAATCTGTTATATTGCAAACAACAGATTTCTTGCACACCCAAGAAACAATCCATTATTTGAAAAAAAATTTGCTTTTTAACCACTACATATAAGAAATATTGTATTTGAAATTATTTAGTCTCTATCCTTTATTATATATAAATATATATGTTACAAGATTGTATATTATGCCTTTACATATGTATGACAAAGCTGACAGACTATATGTACTGTAAGCCCCAAAGAGAGGCAATGTATGCACGTTCATTATTATTTCACTTAACAGCAATGTTCATTCAATAAAATAAAATAAAGACTACATATAGTTTATCAAATTACACTGAATAGAAGTTTGAGGTCCTCCTAACTACTTTTGAGACATTGATAAAATTGATTCATTTGTTAGGACTGTGTCGTCAATGTCATCATCATCCTTCCAAAAGTGTCCTAACAATATTTATTGTTGAACACTTTCAAACATATCTGTGATGTATAATTGCTTGTAGCCTGCACTTTCTTTGCATAGAAATTGTATAGCATGATATGGAAATTCAGTACTTTGAATACATTGTAATGCCAACTGCTTTCTGCAAATTTAACAAGATTTATGCATTCAGTTGTCTCATGCCAGGCGGTTCATTCACTTCATTATCTTTGTCTTTTCTGTTTCTTCAGCTCTTTGTGCATTCTTAATGCTTTCAATGATTTCAACACAAGTCAAATCTTCCACAACAGCTTCACTTTTATCTACATGTAGCCTCTCATCAGTTTCTCTGGAAAGTGCACCATTGAATTATTCTCAAATGTAATTTTGAGAATCATTTGTATGTTGTCAGTAGGACTTCATCAACAACAGAAGAGTCATCATCATAGAATAAATAGTCATGATGCATAACAGCAGACCAACATTTCTGCCATAACTTTTTCAAAATAGATTTGCAAACACTATTCCATGACAGTGCAATGCCACAACCCAATTTCACATTTATCTTGTATACTTGAAAAAGCAATAAATTATTACTATCTACAAATTCCTCAAAAACACTGATATTCCTCTGCAGGAATATGATTGGCAGACCAGACTTTGTTCTCCACAGATATCCAATTTACAAATGCTACAGTAGAACCTCGATTATCCGCCCCCCCCGATCAACCGACCCCTTGATTAACCGACCGTCCTAGTCGGCAAATTTCAAATGTCCGCTAGTGATGTGGCGCTACAATATTTGGCTATGTCTTGGCTACTTTAATATTATTTTTACGTGTTTTAGCTGGCAACACTTATTCGACCATGAAAGGGAGCCAGTATTTAAACGAAGCTTAATTTTCTAATTTTTAACAATACAATAGCAACGATTATTATCTAATATACTAATTACATGGGATATAATAATATACTACACTAATAATGGATTTTTTCATACTTTTCGGTTATCCGACTTTTCAATTATCCGACCAACCCCAGTCCCCAATTGGGTCGGATAATCGAGACTCTACTGTAATGGATTTTTTCATACTTTTCGGTTATCCGACTTTTCAATTATCCGACCAACCCCAGTCCCCAATTAGGGCGGATAATCGAGGTTCTACTGTATGCCATTATTTGAATCTGAAGACAACCACTGGATAAAGAATATGCCTCAACAATGTTAATTTTGGCATGAAACTGTTTTATTTTTAAATGATCATTGAGCCAATAATTTGGTATTCCTTCAGAGTATTTTGTACAAAGCTGCATCTAATTCAGTAATTTTTGATTTTTCTAAAAAACAGCTTTTGTTTGTTTTTTTTAATCATAGTTCTTCAACAAGCTGAAATTAAAATTGTTCATAATTTTTGGCCAGATCACATTTTTCTAGTTGTCTGATGATTTCTATTTTCTTTATTACACTCAGTTCTCTGTGTTTTCTTTTCATGCATTGCTACTTATCCCACTTTCATCTCTTCCCATTGTATGATCAAATTACATATGTTGCATAAATTCTGACATTATTACCGAGTGGAAGTTGATAAGCAATGTATGGATGTTAAAGCATCTCTTATAGATGTTACCAAACAGACTTACTGAGGATTGAATTCTTTCTGAAACCTGTAAATATCAAATGATGCTTTCAAATCCAATCCCAAAAGATGTTTGTACCAACTTTGTTTGGTGATTATGATGTAAATGTGTATGTAGCAGAGGAAAACACCAGTAAAAGTGTCTGACCCAATACACACAAGGTATTGTAATAAGTTATTTTTCTTGACCACATTGCCCTCAATTTCATGGTCAACCTCCCAACATGTAGCAATGTACACAACAACAATCACCTTTTCCTTAATTTCCACCAGGGACTTTAGCATACCGAATGTCCAAACAAATTTCAATTCAAAAAATACTAGCATGCTGAATTTTACTGAACAATTCCAAACTTCTACTGTAAAAGCAAATGGAATTACATGATAAATTTGATCTTACCAAAGTTTTCATAAGAGCTGATAATTCTTTGGTTACAATGGAAAACTTTATAAAAGCAGCACCTTAAAAATATAATAAAAATCAAATATAATTTTCAAATAAAACAATGTATTAAGTAATTTAAACTTTTCTATGAACATTTAAAATTTTATTTTATCCTTTATTAAAAATATTGATCTAGTGGAAGTTTGGCTTTAAAATATGCAAAAGAAAACAAAATCAAAATTTTTAATAATAAGTTAAATTACAAATAAATAAATTAAATTATTACTTGTTCAGCTAGCCAATAGTCTTAATAAAAGAAAGAAGCATTTTCAGTCAAATAATAAAGCATTTGAATCATCTTCAGCTTAGAAAAAAAAATTATATTAGAAAATAATTGAAATTAAAATATTTACTAACACCACACGTTTCTTACACTTTCAGCAATGAATATTTATTACCACAAACATTTTTGGACTCTTTCAGAGGCCTGCTTCATGTTACAAACATTACCTATCAAATGTTGGCAGAGATTTTTTAAATTTGGAATGCTCTATTAATTCCATTCTTCCAATGATATATCATTTAAATAAATTTTTTTGTTGTTCCAAAAACATTAGTACAGGTAACCCCGTATAACATGGGAGTTACGTTCCAAAAAATTGCCGTGTTATACGAAACACAGAACTAGTGCAAAAAAAAGGGCTAGCTTCCAAAAATTAAAAAACATGCTGTTAAATCCTTATTTAAATCGAATTTATTATTCACTTTTTCATAGGTAAAATACTTATTTATTATTTAAGTAAATATTTTACCAGAGGATTATTCATTCTATATGATGATCTCAGCATGAGCATCATCAACTGGTAACAGTTTTTGAATGTGTTCGTTAATAGCGGTCGCTCTGCAATGAGAGTGCGCTGCTGTTTGTAGGCATTTAGGAACGACAGTGAAAGAAAGATGGCGGCACCCGCACTATAGATAGTATCGTGATGGAGGAATCTATAATTCTAAAATGAGCTTTTAGAAGCAAAAGAAGAGTCCCAATTGTAAAATTTAACCATTAAATGGATTATTGTTGAAAGAGCATTCAAAGTAGCCACGAAAACAATTAGAATGCTCG